TCCACATGGCAAGCAAGATCCATTCACATATATTTAGTCTGACTTTCATAGTAACTAATAACAGACTACCTAATATTTAGGTGGGTTTCACTGTTATAAAACATGTTGATACGCATTTGGAATTAAGTGTGTCTCCTTTACAGATTTAACAGCATCTCGTATACTACTCAAGCCCTCCTGAGAGAGTATGTGCTCACCTGAAATGGTGTACACACTGTGTCCTCACAAAGGATTATTCTGATGCATTTATGCTGGATGTTGTAGTGTTTATAATCAAATACAAAGGTGAAAAAAACACGAGGAAGTCATAAAGTAACATGAGGATGAGCTCAGCATCAGTTTCTCTTTCCTTCGAGGGTCTTTGGCCAAGCTTCTGAGACAGTGAGTTGAAAATCAACAGTAAATTTGGCTCTTATTTTTTCTCATTTGTTTCTCTTTAGAACCTCCCAGCATACCTACAGTCCCAGTCCTACATATTTTTCTGAAATGCTGTGTAGCAATTTGTGCACCACACAGCTATGTGAAGCGTTGCTGCAGCATTGATTCCAGCTGAGGGTATGGTATGTGCACACAGGGATCAGGGATGCCAGAGGCTGCCCGTCTGCACCACGGCTCTGGGATGCGGTGAATAGCAGGACATGGCAGCATTTGGGTTCCATCCTGTAGTCCCTGACCACATCCAGACAAAAAGCAAACAAACCAACAAAACAAACGTGCAGCTGAGACAGACCATATGTTAGAGCTGGGCAAACAGTAGTCATTTCTGTGGTACACATGTATGTATGGCTCGCCTCAAATGACACGGGGAGGAAACACTGCAGGCTTCTGTCACAGCCCAAGAGCCTGCATGCTGTGGGCTATTTTTTTTTTTTTTTTTTTTTTAATTCTATTAAAACGTGCTCTAAGTTCTCAGCTGCTTACTTTTTCAGATGATTTACAAGTCCTAGATCTGGGGTAAATGCACAGGTTCAGTGGAAACTGTTGAATTAAAGGAGCTGAGAATCTGCCCTGCTTTGTTTTCACTGTGCAGCCTGAGTTAATGAAAGGTCCACTTGTAAGCTTTGAAATGTTATGTCCTTTGCCTGTGAAGTTACACAGATTCAAAAACTAATTTTTGAGATAGAGATGGGAAAGCCTCTCTGCTTTCCCAACAGGAGAAAGCAAATTTTATCTATTCTCTGCTGTCTTTTACCAAGACACTGCAAAATACAGACTCACTAATTTGTGATTGAGACCCAGTAAGATGTTTTTCTCCTTTTTGTGATAATTAAATTTTGGGTATCGGACATGTAGAGCTAGCTTCATATCATACTCGTATGGTTTACAAGAGGTATACATGGGGATACATGCACAAGTGTCCTCATTCATGACGCAGCCAGATGCAGGGTGAAAGATTTTGTCATGCTTATTTAGTAGAGAACTGGCTCCCTTTTGAGGCACATGTGGCCATTCATTTCATTGTATTTACTACCAGCAGTTACCGAGTTAGATTTTCAGAAGAGTTTAGAGTTGCCTGACTTTAGCCCGACTTTATTGTTTAGTTTTGCTACTGAACTGGCAACAGAGTTTGCGTAAATCAAGCTACTTTTGAAAAACTACTTTCTTGTGTTTTTGTCAATTCTGGTTTTCCATGTTTTTCAAAATCATAAAAAATTTAGTCTTTCATGTTGACTCTAAACTTCAACTTCTTACATATAAACACTTTTCATCTGAATTAACTTGTGTGTGTTTACTCTTAAAGCAAAACAAATGTAAAGTAACATGACCTGGTATAAACCTGTTCAATTTTGAGACTTGCATAAGTAGGTATAATCTAGAATTTGCCTCTAGGTAAGATCAGGCATGTAGACAGTTGATACAGCACAAGTGACATGTGGTGACTTGTTAAACAATCATGTTAACTTTTGTTCATGTTATGTGACAGCCAATAGAGTAATCTCCTTCTCTGCAGTGAGACTTGCACCATGGGAAAGGTTTCAAATTGGGAAATGTGTTGCCTCTGTAAAGCACTCATCTGAATGCTTGTGCTTTTAAATGTTCGATTAATGCTGTGCCCAGAAAAAAAATGAGGCCAACTTCCAGTTCAACTCATTTCTTCTGAGCCTGAGTTCTTACATGCTGAACAGGATCACTGAAGGACAAAAATGTATCTGCTAATCATTCGATAGGAAATGCTTTAGTCTAAGAATTCATCAGCTTATATAGAGTGCTCAAGGCTGTCCTTGGTGGTTATAAAGATAAAATACTTGGCTGTTTTTGTCAGGATTTAAACCATGAATAACATAACTAGAGCATGTGATGTGTTTTAAGTAGACAGTGATGTAAGATTTGTTACTAGGTTTTCTTTCTGTATTTTTGTTAATTTCTGCCATTAATTTTATTTGGAAGCTCACATATGAGGAGTGAAGTGAATTAATAAGTTAATTATCTTCTCCTCCACATCAGCAAAGTATTTTATGCTTTTACAGCTTTGTTATGTTTTGCTTTATGTGACCCCATTAAGAGCCTTTATCCTTTCTTTTGGAAACCACATTGCTGACTTTGGGACCAAATTTTCCTGTTAAGAGTAACACAAACCCAGGAAATCTTGACAGAAATATTCATTCATTTTTAACTTACTGATGTTAGATGCAATTTGCATGTTCTCTATGAGCAAAGAATGTTTAAGCAGTTCTGACTTCTCCCTTAAGATTCATAGGTTTTCACTGAAATGTTTGGAGGTTGGCTGGTAGTCCTGTTATTGGGTCAGTGGTTACTGCTATTTTTCAAACACATTTCTGGTTCACAGTTGTCCTAAAATGGTTTCTGCACCTCTGGCTTTTTGGTAAAGTTGCAGCAACTCAAAGACAGTAGATACTAATGAAACTACTCAAATTGTGGATCTCTACCTGGACGGGGAAAAATGCTATGCTTAAAACTAGGATCAACAGTTGAATTATGGGCAATTCAAGGAGGAATTTGGAAGCAATAATAATCCTTTTGGAAATATGCTTCCTGATCAAAACAAACCTGCTTTTATTGATTCCTTCTCAATCCAGAAAATGAAGTGCCCAAATATAACAAAAGGGTAGCTGCAGATCCAAGGTTAAGAGGTATCAGAATCTGAAGGAGATTTATTTTCCTCTAAAAACCCTTAGGCCAAATTGTCTACCCCAGAGGTTCAGGTATCAGAACGTGCCCACTCCACCTATACAAGCCAAAAAAATTCTCCCATCTTCAGTGTCAGTGCAGACACAGATTGCCAAAGGTGGAATTGTTATTTTAAGTTTGTTCTAACTTGTAACTGCTGATGGTTATCAGTAAACAGCAGTGATACACATGCTAAATATGTGAGTCTTGCTTATTTTATATCTGCAGTCTATTTTCCCGGTGTATCCTTTGGAAATTATCCTAAATAACTGGTTCTATGTGAAGAAAAAATCATAAAACCTAAACAGACATAGCAAGTCTTAAATACTGTAAACCATGTTCTAGAGCCAACTGTCAAGTTTAATGCAAACTGTACTGGTAATAAAACAGAGGTAGAATCTTGCAAGCAGGAAATATTGTAATATTTTTCTGGCTAGTAGTGTTACAACCTGATGGTTGCTGGACTCCTTCTCTGAGTTGAGAAAAAATATGCTATAAAATTCCCCAAGAGCCTGAAGATGTAAAACTTTTTTTCCCTGTAATTCTGGTATCCTAGAAACTGCTTAAGGTAATTATATAAAATGGTGCTGGTTTTGCCTCACTTCTAGTGGCTTTAAACTCTGGTCCATTTAACATTAGTGCTTTTTAAGGATAAGCTATCTGAGTGTGCCTGGAAAGCAGTTATCTGTGACTTCCCTAGTATCTGCTGATTTGAAATTTTTTGTGAAATGTAGAAGCATAACTCCAAACTTCCAGCCTCATATTCTGACAATACCGAACACCAGGAATTCCCATTAGAAGTTTCAAGCCAACATCCACACATACTGTATATTGATATAGCCCCATTATTTCCAACAGAATAATACGGTTACCAGCCCCAAATCAGGTCATATGTTTCAGGTGGGGTCCTCAAATCCAAGTCAGACAAGGAGATTTATGCTTTGGAAGACCAGTGGGTTGAGTTTCAGGTTATTGTTTTCGGAACATGTTCCAAGCACTAGTGCTCTGTGGAAACGGTCGCTTTATTTCACTGCTACAGGCACACTTTTTGTTTGCGCATACATCAAACACCAGGCACGTTGCCTGATGGCCGATTCATTCATGAGTCAAATACTACACAGAAAGACTGAATTTGAATGTGATGTTCCTGAAATCAGGTTCTGCTCAGGGTAATTCTGATTTACTGCTAATAAATCAGACTCTTCCCCTTTAGCTGCAAGAAGACTTAAACATCTGCTTTACCTAAAAGTGTACATTGTATTTTTAAGATTCAAAAGAAATAGTTTGGCAAATAAACTTTCTGAGTAGATGCATAACGCTTCAAACATGTCTTAAGTAATAATTCTTCCTGTTTCAGTCTCCCTCACTTGTCTATAACACTTATGGCTAAGTTAGTCTTAGCAACACCCTGCATAAGGCTCAGTTCTAAGCTGTCGTAATGCCTCTAAATACAGAAGCTAAGCTCTTGAACGGAAAGATTTGTAAGTTACTTTCATAGTTTCATCACCTAAATGTCAGTTACAACTAAATTATTGCTCGCAGTCTCCTTTGCATATATTACAGGGGAACCGAAGGCATTTCCAGGGGCTGTTGGTGTTAGTGCCTTCCCTGACTGCTTCTACTGTTCTCCTTCCCTTACACAGCCACACACAGAAAATTCTTTCCTAATAGAGCATAACTCAGCCCATCTGAAAACTTTTGATGCGTTTCATTCCTGATTATAGCCATAGTAGATGCCTAGTAGTAACTTAAGAATTCGAAGGAAAGTTTTATAACCAGAACAGAGGAACTATGTTGCTTACAAGTAAACACACAAACTGTTACAGTACAGGAAATGACTGGAAATAATTTTAACCAAAGTTTCTTCTTACCTTCTTCAGCAAGTGCTATCAAAGGCACGCTCCCTAGAACGAAGATGAAGAATTGAACTTTAATAAACATCTTTGCTCTGCTTAGAGAATAGCTTTCCAATCCTGAGACCAGATGGCTTCAAATTCTGATTAATTTTTTTTAGAGGCAGGGGAGAATTGAGATCAGAAAAACAAATAACTGCAAAAAACACTTTGGTATTCCAAATATTCGCTTAACTGCTGAAGTCTAAAGGGGGAAGTTTTCCCAGATAACTATACAGCTAAAGAAAACTGAGTGGAGTCCGCATTATTTTCTTTAGCCAAGGGGTGGGAGCATGCCTAAGGTGGTCCTCAAAGAAGAGCCAGGCCCGCCCTCTGCACTCTGTTTGGTCAGCACTGAAATGATGATCTCAGCCCAGGTTTAAAGTTACAGGAGCTGTTGTGGCTTTCAGAAGACTTTTATTTAGCAAAGGGGAAAAGGGTATTTAGGCAGAGCGAGGTGTTCAGGGAGTTCCCTCCCTTCTGCAAACTGCCCTTAAAAAATATTGAAGGGAAAACAGTAAGCACATTTTTCCTGTTATTTCCAGCAGTGAAGTGATGCTTTTTCATTTCAAAGTGAGCCCCCATGTTTATGTGAGCAAGTGTGGTAGTGAATGTGCATTTAGGGGTACTGAAATAGTTCTGGGATAGGTTATTTAATTCTGCAGTAAATACTGTCTGAATTTTTCTGCATGTCTAAGTCTCTTTCAGCCTGTGTCCTCAGGTGACATCCTAGCTGTACTCCAGCATTTATCTCTGCCCACATGCTTGCTGGCCTCACTGTGCTGATATCACCCTACAAGGATAGAGGATTTTTCCATTTTGTATGTAACTGTTAGTAGAACAGCTGTACAGTGGTCTGTACAAGACTAGTTACTATATGTTTCTGCGCATCAGCATTGCACAGCACGGATGTGAGACGAGATTAACACTCTACCAACATCTGTAACAGACGTTTCTTCCTCACAAATAATGGTTGTTAGACAGGGGCTGAAGCAGGACTTGGGGAGCAATGATTTATATTAATCCTTTTCTGAATCTTCCCCTTTTTTGGGGGCAAGTAATGATGTACAGGTTTACATCTGTTTAGGAACGTGGTAAGTTTTAATCAGCGCTCACATGCGGACTACCTGTGCCAGTGTGCCACATAACTGAATGGAGGAAGTAGGTGACCTTCTCCCTCAGTTTCTGCACCTTGAAGTCCTGCAGTGCTAGACACCAGACTCAAGCATAACAGCATAGATTTGTTTCCTTTCTGCTGACAGTTGTGGAGGAGGTAACCTCTGCAGGAGTGGGGCTGACTTGTGGGAGAAGTTTTATCTTTTTTAAAAACAAAACCACCACCAACAACAACAAAAAAACCCAACGAAAACAAACCCCCCCTAAAACGTGGCTAAGTTGTTTTGCTCAGTGAACGTGAGTCAGAACTGTCATTAAGACTCCACAACACTTTGTGCTATAAAGGAGCAAAGCAAGTCTAGACATGTAAGCAGTGATACAGTGATGTAAGGAGGGCTGCAGGTGGAAATGCAACACCTTCCGTAGGGCTTTACTTTTGAAAGTGATAGGTGCCAAAGGAATTTTTTAGCTGTAGATATAAATTATGGTGCTATAATTGTGTTCTTTGTATTGGAGATGCAGGATGCAAACAGTCAACGCTAATTCAAGGAAGCAACAAGCAGTATTGGCTTATTGTCTTTAGAAAAGCAGTAAAATAAATATTCCCATATACTAACTTCCAGCGTGTTTTGAATCTTAAAATCTGGGATTAATTATTCTTTGATAATGCTGTTTCAAATTCATTTAAAGGAATGTTTGCTTATTGGGAAATGCCACTCATGAAACTGAAATTTTCTGGGGGAGTATGTCAGTTTTAATGAAACTTATTTTGAAAAGTCAAACCAAATAATTGTTTACCTTATCCGAATGGAATGTTTGGAATTTTGTATGTATTTTCAGAACAAAAAATGAATGTAGTACGCCATGAAAGACAAGCTGGAACAAAAAGTGAATTTTTAAAGTTAACAAATTCTCATAAGGAACAAAAAAAAGGGATTTTTAGAATTTCATTCAGTTTTCTTCAAAGGCACTCTGAACACCTTTCAGTTTTACGATTATTCATGTAAACAAATTTGTCTTGGGTCTAGGAAATAAGTCTTTCTAAAGAAGGATAAGCTATTTGCTGAATTAAAAGATTTCTTTCTTTAAACTGTACTTTATTTTGCGTGTAGAACTGGAGGTCTTGAACTTTCAGGGATTAGAGATGTCCAGGTGTCTGTGGCTACTTCAGCACTTCTTACCATTTGTACTATTCTTCCCAATAAGGAATAGCTTCTCCTATACCAGTATATTTCCGCTGCTTCAGCCTGTTCCTCAGAAAAAGTCTTCAGATAGAAGTACTGAACTATGAAGAATTTAATAAAATCAGCTTCTATCACAGTATCAAAAGTGCAACAAGGGGAAAGAAATATGCCCATGGATGCAAAACAAGTTAGTGAAAAAGCTAAGAATGTCTTTGTAATTGTCATCTTGGGATGAAATTGTTCCTTGGGGACAGCCATGAGAGGAACTTGCCATCTAGTGACAACAGCATGTTGCTGAGTGAGGAGATTAAGACTGGGAGCCATTGCTGAACCCTTGATTTAAAATATCAACAAAATTATTTCAGAAGAGCCAATACCCTTGGGACAGGGTATGGAGCCAGAGAGGTGAGGGAGCAGTTTTCCTCTGACCTTTACCAAATCAAGGGGTTTTTAATGAAGCTATAGTTCACTGTATTATAATTGTTAAACCAATAGCTTTTGTGAAAATAAAGGAGCTATTCTAAGGCTCTGATTTAACAATCCATCTACATTTAAAGTAGCACTTAATTATGTGGTCTATTTGTTTTGAAATAGAAAGTAAGCACATACCTATATGTAAGTGTATGTCTGCTGATTGGTAATGGCCTTGTGCATGTGCTCAGATGCCGGAATGAAATGAGGTTTAGGTCTATGCAGAGATGTTGTAATTTGGTCTTTTTTGTCCTGGGTGTGTTATGACAATTCCCACAAATTGCCAGGATATGAGTGCATGGGTCACCTTTTTTTTTTTTTTTTTTCTTTTTTTTTTTTTGCCAGGCAGCTCTGTGTGTTTTTAATCACAGTGGTTTAAAGGAGGAGGTGAAAAGGGTCTAGAGTACAAGCAGCCCTTATGTTTTCATTTCACAATCCGTTCTTTCCGTCTGACCGTATCAGTCACTTGCACAGCCTTGTGAGAGGCTTGGGCTGTCTCTAGTTCAGCAAGAGCAAAGAATGAAACATCGTTGGGGGAGTAGAAAAATACTGACAATATCCCGCAAAGTGTTACACCTCAGTGGTAGAAGTCATGTGGGTTATGTTTTCCCCTGTATCGGTCAATGTCGCGGTATGAACCCAGGAGACTGAGGTCAGTGGAAGACTCCCCGTTGTAATAAACGGGCTTTGAACCAGGCCTTTGAACAGCAAGCCTAGCATCAGCAAGGGCAGCCCTGCCACTGGTTCTGTATAGCCCTGCTGGTAATACGGGCATCACGCGGGGGGTGAACGCGGGCAGCTGGATTTCGTGACTGTGGTTCCGTGCAGCATTAGGGCTGGTCCGTCTGCCGAGTGCAGGGCTTTGTGATGAGCTCTCCTCTGGCATTGGGCTGGCCTTATAACTGGCAGTTTGTTTGGCAGTTTATCCTGGAATGGATTGCATTTCTCTGCTGTATGAGATGTTTAGGTCTACATTTAATTCCTTTACACTGCAAAAAGCTGGCTCCAGATTTTCTTTCCCTGCAAGTGAACATTACTGTGGTCCAGAAAGTAAGAAATACTACCTAGGGCCAAGTGGGAGAATGAACTCTGGGGACAGTGCTGATTCAGCTTGTGGAGTAAGTGGGTGGGAGAGAAGGGACTGTTGTTACAGAACTCCCAGTAGAGCATTAATCTGCTAATTGCACTTAATCTCAGTTGACAACAAAATTACTACCATTTTCCTGAAATATCTCAGGAATTATTTCCCATTTTCACTACAGCTATCTCTAAACCGCAAGAAATTATATATATCAAAGTCTAAACTTTTTAGGGCTCTATTACCAGAACTGATATTTGATGTTTGATTTTTTTTTTTTTTTTTTTCTTAGAAACCTTTTGAGGACACCTGTGTCTTCTAGGATTGATGTTGAGGAGTGCCAAGCATGCAGAGCTCCTGTCAGTTGTCTGAGCCTGGGCATGCTTGTCCCTTCTGCAAACAGACTAGTATCTCCGGCTGGACAGAAAGTTTCTTATGGTTTTGGGTTACATATCTAAAGAAGCTGCCTTAACATCAGTTATGAAAAATGTAACCTACAAGTAGAATTTGCTTTCTGTTTCCACTTCCAGAATAATTTGTTTTGTGGACACTCTCTGCTTGTGACTTATAAAATGTTTTCTAAGACTAAATCTATTAAGTAAAGGATTCAAAAATTGAGATGGGCAATTCCATACGGCATGATTTGCTGAAACGTTACCTCAGGGTAAAGCAAAGTTATTGGTTGAAAGCAGGTAATGAAAAATTGTAGCTATCGTTCTAGGTCTCCTCCTCTTTCAAGTAATAGAATGTTTCCTCAGACTGAATTGGATGTTGTTGTATTTCAGTACCTGCCAAAAGGGGTGGGTTTGGCTGCGAAGGGAAAACAGGAAATGGCTTGAAAATTAATAAAGCTTGCAGAAAACAGTTTTTTATGCTTCTGACAAATTATTGCTGGCCCCTCAGCTGCCCCAGGGTACAGAAACAGGAAATTTGGCAACAGAAAGAGACAATATCTCTTTAGTTACAGATTTGCAGAGAATATAATCGAATTGAATGATTAATTTACACTTTTGGAGTGTATTTTTAGTGAAAGAGTAGGAAGGGAAAACATAGGTTTACTTTTTATGTGCTGGAGATGTTAAGATTTCACTTGTACTGGAGGCTGTTCTATGGGAAGAGACGTTCTGGCAGTACATGGAGCTGCACATTCATGAAAGATCCTGGAATAAGTCAGGCAGAAGCCAGGACATTCACATCTGTCATCATGCTACAATCTCTGACAACTGTGGGACTTTGTGGGACAATAAAGGTGTAATTTGGATATTCCTCTTTCAACAGATGAGACATTTGTGTGGCCTTTTGATATGTGTGTATACAGAGAGAATCACCTGTATATGCACCTGCACATTCTTGAGTCTACATAGCACACATTGAACTGAGAGCATGGATGGTTATATTCCCATCTTATGAGGTTATTTACATGGAAGTCAAAGATTCTTAGAAGGCTTTTGCAGAAA